TCCCCTACCTATTTTTCAAGGGAGTGCCCCTCCCCCTAGGTACCTGAGTAGGGATGAAGAATCAGGAGATTTATTAAATTTTGAAGGTGGCTGTTCTGAAAAAGTAAATGTATGTTAATCATAAGGGCTACAAGTGTTACAACAGTAATTTGGCAAATATGTTAAACAAAGGTCAAAATAGATGCAGGATTTTACCAGTTGCTAGCTTGTAATTAAATCTCTGGAGAGTAAGATTAATTGGTATTCATGGCCCTCAGATGTTCTATGATTGATTGTATTGCCGATTAAGTGTCTAGTGAGATAATTTTTTTCTTGCTAGGTTTACAAAGTGAGAAGCAAGGAAGATGGATATTTSTATGCTATCAAAAAGTCCCGTGAAAGGTTCCGAGGAGATGTCGATAGGTGAGCAAAGACTTCTACTGTATGCATCTACATCTACATAGTACCAGCACCCAGCACTGATTATAGGGCTACTACATGTGGCTGCATATCAGTATGAGGTCATTCTCGGGAACCCAGGGGTAATCTTCTGTCGTTCATTCCTCACTACCAGAAAAAATACCCATACATGAAGTCTGTTAAACCTTGTTCTCGATTCGAAATTCAAAATGGCGGCCAGTAAGTTAATCAACCAATCAGAATGTTCGAATGATCACTCGACCAATCAGAAATTTACCGGCCGCCATTTTGAATTTTGAATCGAGAACAAGGTCTAACAGACTTCGTGCACAGGGGTATTTTTTCTGGTAGTGAGGAACGGACATCAGAAGATTACCTCCTGGGTTCCGGAGGATGGTATGAGGTCTCATTGACTAGTAACCTTTATCCGACATTAGCCGGCCTCAATTCTGGTGAGATGAGCTCTGTCCACACCACCAGGAACTCTACTTTTATTCGAACAGTGATGTGGGTTTTTTAACATCCCTTCACTGAGAAGTGTAGAGCGACATGAACTCCAGCTTTACGTCCTTTTCCAAGAAGACAAGACACTGAGAGAGTGCGTGTCTTGCCCGAGAACACAACGTGATGACCTGTCTGGGAATCAAACCGGGCCTGTCGAAGCCCAATGCCTAAACCACTGTACCATCACATATCTCATAAGAAAGAGTCATTCATGTATGGAATATCACTAATAACTTGGACAATTTAAAAATATATCTTTCTTCATATCTAGGAGATATAAA